CTGCGTCGCCCACCTGGCTTCACTGGGTCTTTCCCTCCAGGTACCCAGTGGAGTCTCCAACGTCCAGTCTACAGTCTCCGCCAGGCGCCACATGAGTGGCACGACACACTGAGGACTACGCTTGCGGCACTTGGGTTTGCTCCTTCTACTGCCGACCCGTCGCTGTTTCTGCGCACCGACACCTCTCTGCCGCCGTTCTACATCCTCGTGTACGTCGACGACTTGGTCTTTTCCACAGCTGACACTGCTGGACTCGCCTACGTGAAGTCTGAGCTGCAGAAGAGACACACGTGCACTGACCTGGGTGAACTGCGCAGCTACCTTGGCTTGCAGATCACCCGGGACAGAGCACGCCGCACCATTACCCTGACTCAGTCACACATGGTGCAGCAGGTCCTTCAGCGCTTCGGCTTCACGTACTCCTCGCCTCAGGCCACTCCTCTGCCTACTCGCCACTCGCTCTCAGCTCTGCCTTCGGATGAGTCCGTAGAGTCGAGTGGCCCGTATGCAGAGCTTGTTGGCTGCCTCATGTACCTGATGACCTGCACTCGACCTGACCTTGCATACCCTCTTAGCATTCTCGCACGCTATGTTGCTCCTGGGAGACACCGACCACAGCACATGGCTGCAGCGAAGAGGGTGTTGCGCTACTTGTGCAGTACGTCGGGCATGGGGCTAGTGCTTGGAGGGCGCAGTCCAGTGGTCCTCACTGGGCACGCGGACGCTTCTTGGGCTGACGACCAGGCTACGCAGCGGTCGTCACAGGGTTACACCTTCGGCCTTGGTTCCGGCTCTGTTTCGTGGCGGGCTACTCGCTCGTCTTCTCTTCTCGGCTCCAGTTGTAAGGCTGAGATCTATGCCGGGGCTATGGCTGCTCAGGAGCTTCGCTGGCTCACCTACCTGCTGACCGACCTTGGAGAGCCGCCTCGTTCTCCTCCAGTCCTGTACGTAGACAACAAGGCCATGCTGGCCTTGTGTCGAGAGCAGCGACTGGAGCACAGGACAAAGCACATTGCTCTCCGCTACTTTCTTGCTCGTGAGCTACAGCAGCGTGGACAGTTGCGACTTGCGTACGTGGCCTCTGAGGCCAACACTGCTGATGTCTTCACCAAGGCACTTGCGCCTTGTGATCATCAGCGTTGTTGCACGCAGCTGGGTCTTGTGCCTGTCTTGCCTTTCTTACTCACTTCTTGACCTTGCTTGTACCTTCACTTATATATACTCTTGCTCTTGCTTAATTGACTCTTGTATATCTCTATATATGATGTTGTATGTGAACTGGCCTTGTGGCCTTTGAACTTGTGCTCGGAATGTGTGGTGACTTTGTGATCCACCTTGAGCTTTGCTTTGCTTTGCTTGACTGGTCTTGTGACCCCTTGTTCTCCCCCACTTTGCCTATGGGGGTGTGTCAGAACATATAGCTTACTTATTTGTGTAGGCTATAGTGGGGTATCCCATAAGGGGTACAACCCAAATTAGGGTTTCCTATTTGTACTCACTTCGTTCATTCTCGTTCACTTCTTCTCACACCTTTCTTGCTTGTTCTCTCATATTTGTACCCTTGAAACTATAGTGAAACCCTCTTTTCTCTCGACATTTCTCCTCCAACTCCAACTCAACTTCCTACCTCACTAGCTATGGCTCCTAAGCCTTGCTATATTTTTGACAATGAAATCATCACGACAGCGGCCGGCAGGACAGTTGCAGCCGATACCACCCCCAGAGCGTGCTTCGCAGCAGGTGACGATGGACTTCGTCACGGGGTTACCAGCCGGGGCGAGTGGGAACGACGCGATCCTGGTCGTCGTCGATCGACTAACGAAAATGGCACATTTCGCAGCCTACAAAAAATCAATCACAGCCGAAGAAACAGCACGTCTCTTCATCTCCACCGTCGTTCGACTGCACGGGATACCAGCCGCGATCATCAGCGACCGCGACACGAACTTCACTAGCAACTTCTGGCGGAACCTGTGGCAGCAGTTCGGCACGCGACTGCAGTTCAGTTCATCATACCACCCCGAAACCGACGGACAGACAGAACGGACAAATCAGACCATGGAACAGCTCATCAGGGCCACGTGTGACGACGCGACCACGTGGGAACAGCAACTGCCACTAATCGAATTCGCGTACAACAACTCGCCATCCGCCACGACCCAACAGTCACCATTTTACCTAAACTACGGATAAGACCGGACAGTACCCATGACCGCGAATCCCGACAACCCACTACCACGAGCACAACAGCTCGCCGAAATATTACAAGCAGCACGGACCCGGGCAGTAGACGCAATAAAAAAATCGAACATCATCGCTAAACGCAACGCCGACCGCCACCGCAGACCTATCACTTACCAGCCCGACGACTTAGTTTTACTTGACACTCAGAACCTCCCACTGCCCATCACCTCGAAACTCCGCCCCCGATACTGCGGGCCATTTCGCATAAGCTTCATGCTTACACCCGTCACCGCCCACCTCCTCCTCCCTGCTGACTGGTACGTCAGCCCCTCATTCCACGTCAGCCTACTTCGCCCTTACGTCCCGTCCACGAGCCAACTGCCACGCAATCGCCTAGCCAGCATGACAAGACCACCAACTGAACCAATCATCACCCCCGAGAAAATCCTGAGTCACAGAGTTCGCGACCCTCGAGGAGCCCGACAGATCGAGTTCTTTCTCCGCTGGAAGGACCGTACACCCACCGAAGACAATTGGGTTCCCCTGGACAGAATCGAAAACCACCCCGTCCTCACCGAGTATCTGCGCAGCCGGAACTCCAGGGATGTACACGCACTTTCGTAAGGAGGACCTCCTTAGGGGGGGGGGGGGGGGGGGGTAGTGTAAGGAAAATTCATTTTCCTTACTTCGCATCCCTGCTCAACGCGTACATCACTGTAGCACCACAGTCAGCACCGTTACCACTCGCAACCCTCGCATCGACAATCCGCCCGCCACCTTCGCACATCGCACCCCGACCTCACGGCTTGGCGGGTAACCCACGCTCCGGGCCTCCGCTTCAACACTTTTTCCCAACCTCAGTCCCAGGCCCGTCGCGCGAAAACCACAGTCCAGTACTGTTACCACTGTAGTTTCGCTATATATATTCTTCGCTCATGCCTTCGCTCATTGTACTCTTGCTTCGATAGTGCAATTCTCGTTCGTTCACTCAATTGCACTCGTAACAAGTTTCGAAATTTCAGAAAGGACCGTTCTGCACCCGCTATTGGGACCGTCCGCAACGAATAAAGTGGACAGTACGAAAAAACATGGAAAATAAGAGAAACGCCCTCAGGGCTTATTCGCGGTCGAACATCGAAAGGCCTTTTGGTGTCTGTCAGATGACAGGTGGACCTCTCAGGAACCCCTCTCACGCACTGCTGTCTGCCAGCGCAGCATAACCCGATTGCCTCGTAACGGCCATACGGTCCAAAACCCATCGGGTACTGTAGCGCAGCTGAATCTAGAACGGGGGGGAACCTGGGTGAGTAGCGCACGAAAGCTTACACTTGTCGCGCGCTTGCTTGAACTTTTCGCGCACTTGCTTGTGTGGCCACTGGGCTGGCTGGGCTGGGCGGAACTTCCTGCGATGGCGGCAGGGGGAGGGAAGCTGGAAAAGGCGGAAGGCGCTAGGGATTTGGTTGGTAGGCGTCGCTACTTTTAGTGAGGGGGACTTTTGGGACCACTCAAGAGTCATCTTGGGAATGGGGAAATGGAGCAGGCGACAACATCGAGAGACCTGACACAGCGTTCACGCTGGTGCATTAAGAATCCAGAATGCTTCAAAGAGATACACAACGGTATTGGGACTACTGCCTACCCTATCAAGGCCTCCGCCCTTCTGTTGATGATAGGATGTGTGGTGGAGGAGAGAAGGGGGGGAGGACAAGGGGGAAATGAGGTACTGTGTGTACAGTTGTGAGGGAAGGGGAGTGAGGGGGGGGAGCCCCCAACCCCCTCCCCCCCCTACTTTGCCCGTGACCAGTCACATCACGACGAGTCGCCCCACCCTCTTAGACTCTCATCTCACCACCAGCAGCAGCGCTAGCGGCGGACGGGCAACATCTAGCCACCTCCACGCGGCCTGTAGAGTGGCGTGGCGTTTTGCAGCTTGCTGTTTTTTCGGTTGACTGCTGTTTAGTAAACCAACAAGGTGGGTGACGTGGCGTGCTCTCCTGCTGCGTGTATGCTGCCTCGTGCCTCCGACGATCTAGTAGGGTCGTCGAGCAAAAAGGTTTTGCTGCTCACGTGTCAGCATCGTTCGTTACCTTCTATGTGGAACTATTTGGTCACTAGCTAATGTGAAAGGTGGGAAGGTTTATTTGATATCTGCGATAAGAGGGGGAAGCCGAGCGCGCACACGTGCAAGGCAGACAGAGCCGGAAACCCTTCCCCGCTTTGCACGCTGCTGCTCGTCTTCCCAACTTTAGTTCGCTGCCACTATTCATCATTTCCATGCCGATTAATCTTAGTCCTAAACCCCACTGCTTCTGACACCTATCTGCCGTCAAGCCGGTCCGCACCGCACCTTCGTTCGCTATCCCCACAGTGACGATCTTCTCTGCCATACCGTTGACCTTCGTTCACCAGCCGTTCCCCTCCTGGTTTTCATCACCAACTGTGTCCGCCATCCGCTGTTGCTCCTCATCCAGTCACCCAGTAGACCACTTTACGCCTCGTGCACCTTACGACCCGCCTGTCAGCCAAGCGCTTTTCGATGCCTCCGTCGTAGAGCCTCCTCGCCGTCGATCCCGCCCTTCATCCTTCCACCAGCACCCGTCTCTCTCATAAGTCTCCTCATAAGCCGTTTCCAATAAAAACCCTTCCCGCCAAACGCCCTTTTCGCCAAAAGCCCTTTTCGCCAGAAATCCGTTTCACTTCACCCCACCCTCATGGCGGCGCCGTCAGGGTCGTGTCCTACCGGCCAGTGGATGAGGTACTTGACGGATTCCGTCGACATTGACGTTGACGGTGACGGTCGGACCGTACTAGAGAATATGCTGGCCGAACAGCAATCCACATGTCAGGAACTTGAGAGGTGAGTGTCATTGCGCTTCAATTCACACTGCAGAGGTGTAACGAGCGACATTGTGACGGCATATCACGTCCTCGCCGCGTCTTTGCCGTGCCGTTTCCTGTCTCCGTCGCTCGCTCAACCAGTCCTCATATCTCTTGTCAGCTCCTCTTCTCCCGTTTCCTCCTGTGCAGGACGTCGAGTCGTGCCAATGAGAGCAGTGCCGCGGATAAAGAGCCGTCGCATTGCAATGAGCCGTCGCAGGACGCCGGAAACCGTACCGGCGTCGCTGCTTCCCACAAACGGCAAGTCACTAGCTTGGCTTTCTTGTTTCCCCTATCCTTCGGGGTCTTTCCGCTTGAATTCTCCCTCACTGGTCCTGAAACTATCCCGTTCCTCTCTTCCCTTATCCTCGTTACTGGCCGATCGCCCTTTTTCCATGCGTGTCTGGCGGACCAACGTAACTGGTTTTTCGTTCTTTTCCTAAGCGTTCTTTCTGCGTCTCGCGCCATCTCGTAACCCATTCCCCGTCTCCTGCCGCATTCCCCGTCTCCCGACTCATTCCCCGTCTCCCGACTCATTCCCCAATGCTCTTGTTTGCCGCGCGGGTGTCGCCAGACCGAGGGAGGATGCGGTCGAGGCGAGCAGCAGCAAGGCCAATCGGGAGAAGATGCGCCGCGACCGACTCAACGACAGGTGCGTGCTTGGTGCTTGGTGCTTGATGGCTGGTGCTTGATGGCTGGTGCTTGGTGCTTGATGACTGGTGCTTGGTGCTTGGTGCTTGATGGCTGGTGCTTGGTGCTTGATGGCTGGTGCTTGGTGCTTGGTGCTTGATGGCTGGTGCTTGGTGCTTGATGGCTGGTGCTTGGTGCTTGGTGCTTGATGGCTGGTGCTTGGTGCTTGGTGCTTGATGGCTGGTGCTTGGTGCTTGGTGCTTGATGGCTGGTGCTTGGTGCGTCAATGAGTGTTTTTTGACAGGCGGGCGACCTCCGTCACCCCGCCGCGGCACAACCTTCCGAGTTCCCCGTGGCAGGTGGGTGGCGGTGCTTATCCTGCGTCACCCGTGCTCTGCGCGGAATCAACCGTCAATACTCCATCACCCCCCTTCCCGTTCTTCGCACTCCCCGCCTGCGCTACCACTCAACGTGCCTGCGACCCCCTCCCGCCACCCTTCTCCCCAATGCGCATGGGACCTACCCCCTTCCGCCACCCTTCCCCCTACCGCGCCTGTTACCGCCCTTCCCGCCACCCTTACCCCTGACGCGCCTGTTGCCTACCCCCTTCCGCAACCCTTCCGCAGGTTCGTGGAGTTGGCGCGGTCTCTGGAGGGGAGCGGACAGGCGCGCGCGGACAGGGGGAGTATTCTGGCGGACGCGGTGCGCGTGCTGGCGCAGCTGCGCGCGGAGACAGCGCAGCTGCGGGGCTCCGCGGAGCAGATGAAGGAGCAGATCCGCGAGCTCAAGGTGCGGTGAGGGGGAATGTGGGGAAAGGGGGAGTTGTTGGGGAAGGGCGGAGGGGAAAAGTTGAAAGGATTACGAGGAATGGAGGCGGAGGCGTTGGAGGGGAAGGAATGGCGTCAAGGTTAGAGCGTGAGGCATTAATTGAAGTTGTTTCATAGAGTTTGATACATTTTGCTCTGTGCCAAACACGTTCTGTGTGTGCAGGCGGAGAAGAGCGAGCTGAGGGAGGAGAAGGCTCGTCTGCAGGCCAACAAGCAGCAGCTGGAGGAGCAGGTCCGCCGCATGGCTGCGTCCGGTGCCGCCCAATCCACCGCCGCCACGTCAGCAGCAGCCCCATCAGCAGCCGGCTCTGGTGCTGCCGGTGCTGTCCCCTTGATGCTGCATCCAGCGTGCGAGCCAGGCAAGGTAGCAGCACTAGGTGCACCCATGGGTTTGATCCCCATACCATTCATGCCTGGTGGGATGGTTCATTCTCATCCTCACCATCACCCCCACCCTCAATCTCAACCTGTGCAAAACTATCCCCTTGGAGGGAACCAGCCTGGTCCTGGTCACATAGCATACTCTGCTCCAACCCATCTTGCTGCTGCTCCTGCTGCTACTTGTGGCACTGCTGGCACTGCTGGCAGTGCTGGGACTGGTGGGACTGTTGCTGCTGCTTCAGGTCCACAGTACATGGCACCTCTGCCTTCCATGATGCCATATGGCATGCCAGGGATGGCGCCTATGGCCATGTGGCAGTGGTTACCGCAGTCTGCTGTTGACTCGTCCAATGACCAGATGCTCAGGCCGCCAGTGGCATGATTTGTCTTGTTGTGAAGTGAGGCTTTTCAGCGTCACAGGTTTATTTTGCATGTTATTGTTGTAACTGATCTGATTGCTTATCGTTCCAAGAAAGCATCCAGAAATGGTTCCTGTGGCATTGTGGTGGTTGGTAGTGCTTGCTGCAGCCAGGTGCTCATTGTAAACCTGACGCTGTGGGAAGAAAGCAACCAGATACGGTATTGAAAGACTAGATAAATTCGATAGAACTAACAGGTTTTATTCTACAAAGGCGAGTAGCTACGCTACACGTTCATCGCACCCCTAGCACCGGGCCCGGACTTTCCGCGAATCCGCGATACAAGCCCCCTCCACTCACATACTGGTGTAGGGGCCTAGCAATGGCATTCTCAATCGCTGCCAACTCAAGAGTTTGAAGCGTCGAGCCCTCGGGATTCCTTCCTCGTCTTTCTCCGCTCTTCAGTTCCCGAGATTCCTTCATTCTCTTTCTCCGCTCTTGGCTCCAAGACGTTTCACTCACGATACATACCGCTTTTCACTGTGAGAAATTTACCTGGGTTCGCCGTCGAACCTCGTCTCGGTTCGGCTCGCTGTCCCAAGACCAGGGAGTTCCAAGGCACGAGGTTCCACAGCACGAGGTTGCTGCGAGCAGTCTTTTCGCGGGATTCGTGTTTTCGCCGGTTGTGTTTCTTGCGACATTTTACGAAGGCAGGAAGGAATCGGATTCATCTCAGGGTGATTGACGAATCGATTCTTGGAAGTCGAATGGCTGGAGACGACGGGGCGGAAGGGCGGCAGCAGGCGGAAGGCGGATCCGCGCACAGCCACGAGCATGCCGCGCCCGCGCCCGCGCACTCGCACGCGCATTCGCATTCGCACGACGCCCACCACCACCATCACCACCACGACCACCACGACCACCGTCATCCTGCAACGTCAGTGTTTCTTGAGCGCAATCTGATGTTACCGTGTTTTGCGCATCGCTTTGGCCGCCAATCGTTGACGCGTGTCCAGGCACATCGGTAGGCTAGCTTGCATTCCCCCATTTCCTCGTTTCCTCGTCTTGACGTTCACTCTAATTCTTGTCCAATCCAGCGGCGACACGTCAGCACCGTCCGACGAGTTCCGCGGCGCGGACGGGCGCGTGTACCACTCGCACGACGGGCTCGCCCCGCACTCGCACGAGCCGCTCGACAGCGCGGGGAGCTTCGCGCTGCGCGCGCCGCCCTTGCCGAACCGCGACTTGGCGGAGCGCGCGTTTACCGTTGGAATCGGCGGGCCCGTCGGATCAGGGTATGCGGGGGGAGGGAGAGAGGAAGAGGGGGGGGGGGGAGGAAAAAGATGAGAGAAAGGCAGGGAGGGAGGAAGGGAAGGGGAATGGGCGCCAAATGATGTGAAGGAGTGGCGGAAGGGATGTGGCGGGGGGGATCAGATCAGAAGGGGTGCATTCCGCGCGACTCGTGGGAGGGAAGGGAACGGAAAGCATGGGAAAGGGCAAGGAGCGGTGCTTGGCAAGCAAGCAGCGTGCAGTGTGGCTTTTGAGGCGCCTCACAAGCAGCGTGCAGTGTGGCTTTTGAGGCGCCTCACAAGCAGCATGAAGTGTGGCTTTTGAGGCGCCTCACAAGCAGCGTGCAGTGTGGCTTTTGAGGTGCCTCACAAGCAGCGTGCAGTGTGGCTTTTGAGGCGCCTCACGAGCAGCGTGCAGTGTGGCTTTTGAGGCGCCTCACAAGCAGCGTGCAGTGTGGCTTTTGAGGCGCTTCACAAGCAGCGTGCAGTGTGGCTTTTGAGGCGCCTCACAAGCAGCGTGCAGTGTGGCTTTTGAGGCGCCTCACAAGCAGCGTGCAGTGTGGCTTTTGAGGCGCCTCACAAGCAGCGTGCAGTGTGGCTTTTGAGGCGCCTCACAAGCAGCGTGCAGTGTGGCTTTTGAGGCGCCTCACAAGCAGCGTGCAGAGCAGCGTGCAGTGTGGCTTTTGAGGCGCCTCACAAGCAGCGTGCAGTGTGGCTTTTGAGGCGCCTCACAAGCAGCGTGCAGTGTGGCTGTGCTTATTGGGAATCCATTTTGTTGAGGCGTCTTCTCAACAACAGGCCCCGGCTGTGGGGAAAGAATGAGGCATTGTCCAAGCAATGCAGTTGCGGCAGTCAGGAGCTCGTCAGGTGCTCGTCAGGTGTTCTGTCAGGTGTTCTGTCAGGTGCTCTGTCAGGTGCTCGTCAGCAGACACCAACCAATGACATCGTCACAACCACTCACCTCTCCCACACCCTCATTTTCCCACCATCCCCCCAACCACCCATTACCCACAACCTTGGTCAGGAAACATGGCACTCATGCTGCCTCTGTGCCGCACGCCAAGGGACAGGTACGGCCTGAGAGGCAGCAAGCACCAACCATTGGCATTCTCACAACCACCCACCTCTCACCCACCCTCATTCCCCCACCCATTCCCCCACCCATTCCCCACAACCATTCCCCCACCCATTCCCCACAACCATCTGGCAGAAACACTCATGCCAGCTCTGTGCCGCACGCGAAGGGACGAGTACGGCCTGAGAGGCAGCAAGCACCAACCATCGGCAGTCTCACACCTGCTCACTAGTTCACTCTTTCTTGAAATTTCCCTGTCCCCCCCTTTCACCCATTACCTCATTCTGTCCCCCCCTTTCACCCATTACCTCATTCTCTGCCGCACACTCAGAGAGCAGCACAGCCTGGCAGCCGTCACCAACGACATCTTCACATCAACCACCCATTCCGGCCCTATGCTCCCCCATTCCCCCGTCCACTCACATGAAAACGGCCCTAATGTTGGCCCTCTGCCGCACGCTGAGAGAGCAGCACAGCCTGGCAGCCGTCACCAACGACATCTTCACAACCACTCATATTCCTCCCGTCCCGCACACCCATTGTCCAATCCACCACAGAAATACTGCTCTCATGCTGGCCCTGTGTCGCACGGTGAGAGAGCAGCACAGCCTGGTCTGGCAGCGGTTACCAACGACATCTTCACGCAGGAGGACGGCGAGTTCCTCTCATGCGCTCTGCTTCTCCCCTCCTTCCCTCCCGCATGCACTCCACTCCACGTTGACAACCCTCATTACTCTCTTGCAGGAAAACGGCCCTAATGTTGGCTCTCTGCCGCACACTCAAGGACCAGTACAGCCTGGCAGCTGTTACCAACGACATCTTCACATCAACCGCTCATATCACCTCCGCTCCCATTCCCCCGTTCCCTCATTCACCCCCAACCATTTTGCAGAAAGACTGCTCTCATGCTGGCCCTGTGTCACACGCTCAACGACCAGTACAGCCTGGTCTGGCAGCGGTTACCAACGACATCTTCATGCAAGAGGACGGCGAGTTCCCCTCATGCGCTCCTCTGCTCCCCTCCTTCCCTCCCACGGCTAGCTCCCTCCTTTCCTCTGCACCTCCCTTCTTTGCTCTGCATCTTCACACCGCCTCATTCCCCCATTCAACCCCAACCCATCCATCGTGTAGCAGAACGGCCCTCATGCTGGCTCTGTGCCGCACACTAAGGGACAGCAAGACTGCTCTCATGCTGGCTCTGTGCCGCACACTAAGGGACAGCAAGACTGCTCTCATGCTGGCTCTGTGCCGCACACTAAGGGACAGCAAGACTGCTCTCATGCTGGCTCTGTGCCGCACACTAAGGGACAGCAAGACTGCTCTCGTGCTGGCTCTGTGCCGCACACTAAGGGACAGCAAGACTGCTCTCGTGCTGGCTCTGTGCCGCACACTAAGGGACAGCAAGACTGCTCTCGTGCTGGCTCTGTGCCGCACACTAAGGGACAGCAAGACTGCTCTCATGCTGGCTCTGTGCCGCACACTAAGGGACAGCAAGACTGCTCTCATGCTGGCTCTGTGCCGCACACTAAGGGACAGCAAGACTGCTCTCGTGCTGGCTCTGTGCCGCACACTAAGGGACAGCAAGACTGCTCTCATGCTGGCTCTGTGCCGCACACTAAGGGACAGCAAGACTGCTCTCGTGCTGGCTCTGTGCCGCACACTAAGGGACAGCAAGACTGCTCTCGTGCTGGCTCTGTGCCGCACACTAAGGGACAGCAAGACTGCTCTCATGCTGGCTCTGTGCCGCACACTAAGGGACAGCAAGACTGCTCTCATGCTGGCTCTGTGCCGCACACTAAGGGACAGCAAGACTGCTCTCGTGCTGGCTCTGTGCCGCACACTAAGGGACAGCAAGACTGCTCTCATGCTGGCTCTGTGCCGCACACTAAGGGACAGCAAGACTGCTCTCGTGCTGGCTCTGTGCCGCACACTAAGGGACAGCAAGACTGCTCTCGTGCTGGCTCTGTGCCGCACACTAAGGGCGTATCCAGGTTCGGGTCATCAGCACTGTTCCAGGCATCCGCAATTTGCGGATGCCCCGAACTACATAAAACACCACTTTGGGCCATCGATCATCGTGCGACCCTCAAAAAGGCGCGTTTGTTGTCCCGCCAAAAAACCAGAGCCAAAAGTTGCTCCAACCAATAGGTGCGCCCGCCTTCATGCCATGCGATCCCTTTCACCCGGTTGCGCGACACTCACCCCACCAACCCATCCGTCAAAATTCCCAGCGGTAATGGAACATTTGGATCTGCCCGCCTCCGAAACCCATCCCAACCACCTATGATGCGAAAGACGCTCAGAGGACGCTGCGTCCTGCGTCTGGACGCAGCGTCTGGACGCTAGGACGCAAGACGCGCGTCCAGACGCAGGACGCACATCGAAATTTTTTCGGGCTGCCCTGAAAATTTTTTTTTTCCAGATTACGAATTTCAATCTTGCGATTTCGACGCGATACGATACGATAAACTATGTATGTATGTGACCTTGGGACATGTGTGTGTGTGACAATACGTGACTCACCTTAATCTTGAGATTTGGGGGAAAATTTGATGTTGGGGCCAAGTTTGCCTTGAAAGTGTGGAACGTTCCCCCCCCCCCCCCCCCCCCCTCATCCCATGCCCTATAACAAGTTTTTTTGCCTGCCCGGGGGTTTTTTTTTGCCTGCCCGGGACTGCGTCTTTTGGTGCGTCTTTCTGGTCCTGGTGAAGCGTCCTGCGTCCGGACGCATGCGTCTGGACGCATGCGTCCAGGACGCAGGACGCGTCTTTCGCATCATAGCCAACCACACAGTCTCACCCAAGGGTTTCACAAAACGGCAGAAACAGAATTGTGCTACACGCAGGGATGGTGTTGGTGAAATTGCCGGGCGTGAATGCTGTAGGTCGTCCGTCAAAAGAGGGGGACCCAACATGGGGTCGCACTTGTTTCTGATTGGTGGGGGTCACATTGGGAGTGACGGTCGCATGCAGGTTGCAGGATGACCCAAAGTTCAAGCCGTGCGCGGTTCCGGTGTTGAGTTCGGGGCATGCGTGATTTGCGGATGCCCCAAACAGTTGAATGAACAGTGCTGATGACCCGAAGCTGGATACGCCCTAAGGGACAGCAAGACTGCTCTCGTGCTGGCTCTGTGCCGCACACTAAGGGACAGCAAGACTGCTCTCGTGCTGGCTCTGTGCCGCACACTAAGGGACAGCAAGACTGCTCTCATGCTGGCTCTGTGCCGCACACTAAGGGACAGCAAGACTGCTCTCATGCTGGCTCTGTGCCGCACACTAAGGGACAGCAAGACTGCTCTCGTGCTGGCTCTGTGCCGCACACTAAGGGACAGCAAGACTGCTCTCATGCTGGCTCTGTGCCGCACACTAAGGGACAGCAAGACTGCTCTCGTGCTGGCTCTGTGCCGCACACTAAGGGACAGCAAGACTGCTCTCATGCTGGCTCTGTGCCGCACACTAAGGGACAGCAAGACATCTTCAACATCAACCACCCATTCCGCCCCTGTGCTCCCATTCCTCCGTCCACCCACAGCAAGACTGCTCTCATGCTGGCTCTCTGCCGCACACTACGAGACAAGTACAGCCTGGCAGCGGTCACCAACGACATCTTCACGCAGGAGGACGGCGAGTTCCTGATCAAGCACGCCGCCCTCTCGCCGCCCGGCCGCATCCGGGCGGTGGAGACGGGCGGCTGTCCGCACGCCGCCATCCGGGAGGACATCAGCATCAACCTGGGGCCGCTGGAGGAGCTTTCCTCTGAGTTTAAGGCGGATATGCTGCTGTGCGAGTCAGGCGGAGGTGAGTAACGATGAATGTGGAAGGGGTGTTTGCATGCAGTGAGTGTGACAAACGGTCTCCTCTCAGGTTTGCACGCTGCCATGCGGGAGGACATTAGCATCAACCGGGGATCGTTGGAGGAGCGAGCGTCCTACTGAGTTTAATGTTAATGCTAATGTTAACGTCCTCAGGTTGATGTGAAAGGCCAGCCGGCGGGCATGCTGCTGTGCTGTGCGAGTGAGGAGGAGGTGAGTGAGTGAGACGATGGTCTACTCTCATTCCATGTTTGCATGCCACTGCCTGCACGCCGCCACCCGGGAGGATATTCGCTTCAGCCTGGGGGACAAGTGGAGGAGTTGTCAGCGCACTTCGATCTGAACATGCTGCTGTGTGAATCAATCAGGGGGAGGTGAGTGAGAGGAAGGGTGCCAGCCATGGTTGCATGTGAGTGAGAGGAAGGGAGCCAGCCATGGTTGCATGTGAGTGACTTTCTGCACGCCGCCATCGGGGAAGTCATGAGCATCAAAATAGGTCTGTTAGAGGGACTTTGTACTCAGTTTAAGGCTGATATGCTGCTGTGCTAATCAAGAGGAGGTGAGTGACTGACTGACTGTGATTGCGGAAGGCCGTTTGGCATGTTGCCATGCCATCAGAAGGGCAGGAGCACCAAGGTGGGAGTTGCAGGAGCACCAAGATGGGAGTTGCTGGAGCACCAAGGTGGGGGTTGCTGGAGCACCAAGGTGGGGGTTGCTGGAGAAGCTGTCAGCAACGCAGTCTAACTGCTTTGAGACGCCTCAAACGTTGACTGCTCCCATCAACCCCGTATGCCTATTGTCGGTTCACCATATGTCTTCCCTCTGTTGCCTACCCCTCGGCCCTGCTCCCATCCGGAGAGGGAATCAGCCCCCTAGCAGGCGATTCCAACCAGGAAGGGACTTGCAGCAGACCTGCCCCAACTTTCTCCCCTGTTCACCTCCCTCGCAGACAACCTAGCGGCCAACTTCAGCCGAGAGCTAGCAGACTACATCATCTATATCATCGATGTGTCGGGCGGCGACAAAATCCCCAGGAAGGGCGGCCCGGGAATCACCCAGGCAGACCTGCTGGTGAGAGAAAAGGGGGGTGAGAGGAAAGGGTGAGAGGAAAAGGGGATGTTGGGGAGGACAATGGGTGTGGTCCCAGGGACATGAGCTTACGGGGGGGGGGGGGGGGAGTGAGAGCGTGGGGTGTAGATTTGGTGAAAATTACAAGGCGGTTTGACCCCGACCCTCTTTATAGATTTGTGCTGAACCCCCCTCTCTGGTCCCGTAGCTGCAGGGGCCAGGGGTCCTCTCTGGTTCCTCCGCACCCCTCCTTTTCCTTGTCTCCCTTCCTCTTCAAACCCCCTTCTCCCCCGCCCTCTCCCCATTTCCCCCCGTTTCCTTGTCTCCCTTCCTGCTCTGTGCTCTCTGCTGCGTGCATTCTTCCATGCTGACGTGGCATCATCAGGTGGTGAACAAGACTGACCTGGCGCCGGCGATCGGTGCTGACCTGGCGGTCATGGAAGCGGACGCGCTGCGCATGCGGGATGGGGGGCCCTTGGTGTTTGCACAGGTGGGTGAAGTGAATGGGGGAGAGGGGAATGGAGGGACACCTGTGGAGCTCCATTCCCCACAGATATGTTTGCAAATGTGTTTGCAAATGTGCCTGCAAACACCAGAGGGGCGCGTATGTTGCCAGAGTGGTGGATGCTGGTGGGATGATGGGAAGGCGGGTCGCTGGTGTTTGTGCAGGCGGGTGAATGGGGGAAAGGGGGATAGAGGGACACCTGTGGTGCTCCATTCCCCACAGGTATGTTAGCAATTGTGCTTGCAAATGTGTTTGCAAACACCAGAGCGGCGCGTATGTTGCCAGAGCTGTGGATGCTGGTGGGATGCTGTGATGGCGGCCCATTGGTGCTTGTGCAGGTGGGTGAATGGGGGAGAGGGGAATGGAGGGACAGAGGGGCGCGTATGTTGCCAGAGGGGCGCGTATGTTGCCAGAGCTGTGGATGCTGGGAAGGCGGGCCGCTGGTGTTCGTGCAGGTGGGTAGCGAGGTAGAGGAGGATAGGAGGATATTTAACAGTGCTGGTTTCCATGCTGCCAGCGTTTTCAGAGACAGTTAGGACCATGTGTTCACAGCATGAGTGGTGCCCTACATGTGCCCGTGCATCCCATCCGTTCTATGGGGTATATGTGCCAGCCATATGTGCTCACAGCATGGAGTGCCAGCCATATGTGCTCACAGTATGGAGTGCCAGCCATATGTGCTCACAGTATGGAGTGCGCTCTGCATTGATGCATCGCATGCCTCTTCCCGTGCGTGCACCTATCCCATCCCTCAATGCAGGTGAAGCATGGAGTGAACTTTTGAGGCGCCTCAAAACTCCTCCCGTGCGTGCACCTATCCCATCCCTCAATGCAGGTGAAGCACGGAATGGGGGTACCAGCTATAGTGGACTATGTGATCACAGCATGGGGTGCCGCTCTCACAGCATGGGGTGCCGCTCTCATTGCATGCATGAAAATATACCATCCCCATGCATCCCTCCCATTCATGCGCCCATCCTACTTTGCGGGCTCCCATCCCTCCCCTCAATGCAGGTGAAGCACGGAGTGGGGGTACCAGCAATAGAGGACCATGTGCTCACAGCATGGAGGGCTCACAGCATGGAGGGCTCACAGCATGGAGGGCTCACAGCATGGAGGGCTCACAGCATGGAGGGCTCACAGCATGGAGAGCTCACATGATCACATCCGTGCCTGCATGCCCTAATACATCCCATCCATCCTCCTGCCCGTCCCACCCCTCCACCCATCCCATCTTTCAATGCAGGTAAAGCATGGGGTGGGGGTACCAGCCATAGAGGACCATGTGCTCACAGTATGGATAGCTCATCCCCATAAATGTTGTCATTCATCCCATTCTTGCATGCGCCATCCTCGCAGGTGAAGCACGGGGTGGGGGTACCAGCCATAGTGGACCATGTGCTCACAGCGTGGTGTGCCGCCACAAGCCAGCCCAGGAGGTGACGGGCATCATGCTCCCTGTTACAGTTACAGTCACAATTACAGTCAGTCGTAGTTACACGCATGGTTACGGTAGTCTCGGTTACAGTCTACAGCCCTGGCCTTAGTGGACCATGTGGTCACAGCATGGAGTGCCGCCACAGTCCAGCCCAGGAGGTAACAAGACACGTGCATCCTGTTACAGTCACGGTTACAATCAGGTGCTCACAGCGTGGTGTGCCATCCTCGCAGGTGAAGCACGGGGTGGGGGTACCAGCCATAGTGGACCATGTGCTCACAGCGTGGTGTGCCGCCACAGGCCAGCCCAGGAGGTGACGGGCAACATGCTCCCTGTTACAGTTACAGTCACAATTACAGTCAGTCGTAGATCCACGCATGGTAACAGTAGTCACGGTTACAGTCTATAGCCCTGGCCTTAGTGGATCATGTGCTCACAGCGTGGAGTGCCTCCACTGGCCAGCCCAGAAGGTAATACTGTCCTCTCCCTGGCACACTTCCTGTTACGGTACATTCACTGTCACCATGAAGGTAATGATATTGGTCGTGTTTGTAATCAAAGCCATGGGTTTAAATAGATGGTTGGCATCTTTCTGCTTGGCTCTATTATGTGTAAGCCTTTTCGCTGGACGATTTATGATAGGCGCATGTTGTATTAATAAGAGATGAAGTGTGATTATTGGTTCCTCTTAGGGCTTGTACGTTCATTTATATCCGAGCCTGGATTCACGCATGAAATCTATAACGAGGACAGCTCGAGAGTTTCCCTGAGTGAATCAGGCACTGATTCTGCCGCGTGCCAAACCCAAAGCACAGCATACCAGCCTTTAACGGTGCCGATGCGCGCTCACGTTCTTCAGCTCGACGGTACCGTAGATGAGTCCAGCCTTGGCTTCCAACATCGATGGTGGTGTGTCGTGTAACGTGTTGTGTGACATTTGCGGACCAATCAACCAACACCTATGTGACACGCCCCTCTTGAGTGTCATTCACCATTCACCGTTCATGATTCACCAACCCTAAACGTCGTGATTCAGAATTCACGATTCAGAAGATTCAGGGCAGGAATCAGGATTCACGAACCAGACCACACCACGCCGCTCCGTACTTCACGTGTATATTTTCATTTCGACTTGAGTGAACACCGCAAATCACGCCAGAAACCACGCCACAAATCACGCCTCCAAAGACGTGAAGAGCTGACTGGCAAACTCGTCGTTGCCACGCGGCTGTAGTCTAGTTTAAACATCGCGGCACGGTGCTGACCTGCAGGCCGCATTCTCGCGTCGGAACCCAACCTTAAACAGTTCAGATGGCAGCAGCGTCGTCAGGGACTCTAAACGGCCTGTCGAATGGCGGCGCCAGCCACGCCGCCATTCGCGGCCCACGCTTCGGCACCTACAACCGACGTGGCACGTCTGTCTCCACCGCGTCGCGTGCGACACTGATGAGATTTCGAGCCGCTGGCGACACGTGGCAATCGGCCACCGCGCGACAATGCGGGTGGTCCAGCGGGGAGATTGGGGGAGGATGGGGAAACGGCGGGATTGCCGGAGGATTGCGCAGGCGCGCGGAACGGAAAGGGGGAGTATCTGCAGCGGTAGGGGTTGCCGGTGGGGGGGGAGTGGTTGTTGTAGCGGCGGCGGGAGCGGAGCAGTCGCCTTATGACGTGCTGGGAGTGGCTCGAGGCGCGTCTCAGAAGGAGATTAAGTCCGCGTTCCGGCGGCTGGCCCTTAAGTACCACCCCGACGTGAATAAAGCGGTGAGACACTCTCGAGAATTGTGAAAAGGGTTAGGGATTGTGAACGCATCGCCTACTGTGACGTGAAAAAGGCGATGGTAAATTTGTTTTCTCAAAAGTCAAGAATTGTGAAATAGGTTTGAGATTGTGAACGCATCGCTTTGCGCTTCTTTCCTCACCTCGCTCTTCTTCCCTCACCTCTCCCACCCTCCGCACAGTCGCTTTGGTGTTTCGCTTTGGTGTTTGTTGATTTGAGACAGCAGCAAGCACGAGACTGAAACGTTGCTCTCCTCATCCTCCTCCTCCTCCTCCTCCTCCTCCTCCTCCTCCTCCTCCTCCTCCTCCTCCTCCTCCTCCTCCTCCTCCTCCTCCTCCTCCTCCTCCTCCTCCTCCTCCTCCTCCCCCCCGTCCTCCTCCTTCCCCCCCTCCTCCCCCCCCCTATAGCCCGACGCTCAGGAGCGTTTTGTGCGCATAAAGCAGGCGTATCAGACGCTCACAGACCCCGATGCTGCTGCCAACGCCAAGGCGCGCGCAGCCTCGCAGCGGCAGCAGCAGCAGTGGGCGCGGAGCAGCAGCAGCACCAGGGCGAGGGGGGGTTATGGTGCGCAGTGGGACGCGGATTTCAGTGGCCCGTTTGACCCGTTTGATGCGTGGAAAGGACTAAAGAACAAGCCAGATGACTTCTACAGCCTTGGTGAGCATATGGCTTGGTTCAGGTCAGGAGGTCTATGGGAGGGTATGGGCATTGGGAGGGTATGGGGCATTGGGAGGGTATGGGGCATTGGGAGGGTATGGGGCATTGGGAGGGTATGGGGCATTGGGAGGGTATGGGGCATTGGGAGGGTATGGGGCATTGGGAGGGTATGGGGCATTGGGAGGGTATGGGGCGAGAGCGGGGTATGGGGCGCTGTAGGACGCTGATTTCAGTGGTCCGTTTGACGCGTTGAAAGGACCAAAGAACAAGCGGGATGACTTTTACAGCCTCGGTGAGTGTGGCTAGGCTTGGCTTGGCTTGTTCAGTCGGGAGCAGGTATGGTGCGCGTGGAGGGGAAGGGAGGGGCGCAGTGGGATGCTGATTTCAGCGGTCCGTTTGATCCGTTTGAAGCATGGAAAGGGCCAAAGAACAAGCCACATGAAATTTACGGCATCGGTTGGTGTGACTTGGGTTGGCCTGGACAGTAGGGTCGCAGAGGATAATGGGAACAGCAGGGCAGAGGGACAGTAGGCGGTGACGTTATCTCCCCCATTGGCCCATTTGATGCATGGGAGGAATGGGTCGGCTAACAAGCCAGATGACTTTTCCAGTCTTGGTGAGTGTGAGGGTTAGCTTGGACAGTGCGGGGAGAGTGTGGGTCGCAGTGGGATGGTGATTTTGGGGCTGTCTCTGCTGCATGGAAGGGACCTGCGAACAAGGCAGATGCCTTTTACAGGTTCGGTGAGTGCAGTGGTGGGCGGGTGGGGTGGACGGTGCGAGAGTTGTTGCAGTGGGGCAGTGGGGCACTTCCTTTCTCTTGACGTCCCTCAAGGGCCCTGGGAAGAAGTTTGAGGAGGAGCAGGAGGAGCAGGGGAACTACCGCATCGACTGAAAATGCATCTCTGCCCCGCCATGCCCGTGCTTCTCTTCCCTGTGTCCCCCAACCCCTGTGTGCGGGCAGAGGATTGCTCCAAGGATCTTCAGAAGGCCTTTGAAGCAAAAGGAGCAGTTCTATGCCGACTCAAAGTGCATCCCCCTTTCCCACTCACCCCTCTCCCCACTCACCCCTCTCCCCCATGCCAGCGTGCCTGCCCCCTGCACAGTGCAGACGATTTCTTCAAGGGTTTTCAAAAAGGCTTTGAGGAGAAGCACAAGGAGCTAATTTGAGTCAACTCAAGAATCATCTTTGTTTTCTGCCCCGTGTCCCGTGTCTCTTGCCCTGTGCCCCATGTCTCATGGCCACTGCCCTGCATGCGCGCAGACGATTTCTTCAAGGATCTTCAGAAGGACTTTGAGGAGAAGCAGAAGGAGCGCGGCACTGGCAAGCCCAAGAGCCTGTGGGAGGAGCTGGCGGTGAGTGTTGCAGGGGATGGTGGCTTGGGGGTTTTGGGAATTGGGGCGGTGTGGGTTGGTTGGGATTAGACCTGTGTGAGTGCATTGAGGGGTGGAGAAGCAGAAGGAGCAGGGGGGCAAGCTCAAGAGCCTGTGGGAGGAGCTGGCGTTGAGTGGAAGAAGCTGTGGATGGTTATGGAGCAGTGTGGATTGGTTGGGGTGAGACATGTGTGAGTGCAGGGAGGGGTGGAGAAGCAGGGGAGCAGGGGGACCATTCGAAACCCTGTGGGAGGAGCTTGTGCGCTATTGCATTCCTGCCTATCATTCAGTGCTCATATTACATTTCTCACAAAAAAAAAAAAAAAACAACAACAACAACTTTTATGCTCCATATTGCATTCCCCGTTAACAGGACCTTGGAGAGGACTTGGTGGATTTCCTGGAGAAGAATGTCCCGGAGCAGCAAGAGAAGCCCAACTATAGCAAAGAGTATTTCTACTCTGGAGCCAGCAGCAGACCCGATGGCAGCAGCAGTGGCCCCAGCAGCAGCAGCAACAACAGCAGCAACAGTGGCAGCAGCAGGGGCGGGAACAGCGGAAGCAGCAGCGGCAGTGGCTCCAGCGGCAGTGCTAGCACAAACAGCAGAGGCAGCAGCAGCCAGAGCAGCAGTGGCAGTGGCAGCAGTGGGTACGGGTCATCCTCCTACTCGTCTGGCTCATCTGCGAATAGAGCGCAGCAGAGCACGTGGGAGGAGAGGATTAAGAAGGAGAAGGAGAAGGAGATTGATGATGAGCTGCAGAAGCTGAAGCGCGAGATGGGGCTGTGATATGTCAGATTGCCAGTGAATCTGGAATACACTTCTGAGTTTTACCGGTTGATAGAGCGCAGCAGAGCGTGTGGAGGAGAGGATATAGAAGGGGAAGGAGAAGGAGATCAAGACGAGCTGCAGAAGCTGAAGCAGGAGATAGGGTTGTGATGGGCCTGTGGTGTGGGTGTGATGTGACTGGCGGTTTTTAGAGCACTTTTTTAATCGACTCATCAGTCGAGCCCAGCATATTTCGTGGGAAGGAGAGGATGAGGAGGGAGGAGGAGACTGATGATGAGCTGCAGAAGCTGAAGCGGGAGATAGGGAACTGAATGGATGAATCTGGGATGGAGCGTCAACTGCCATATCTATATACCTGAAGTGTGGCTTATGCACTATGAGTTGCTGAAAGGGGGAATGGGGTTGTGATGTTTTTATTACATTTCAAGAAATGGCATTCAGCTCAACAGATGTGAGCTGATTTACAAATGTGGTTGATAAACTACTAGTTAAATGCTCAACTGAGGGCCCCCTGATTGGGGTGAAAGTTTTCTTGATGAACCAGCTTCAGTATGAAGAACAAAATGTATATAAATAATTTACAAGACCAGGTTCTAGAGGCAAGCCATTCAGTGGCAGTCTAGTTACTCTGGCCCAGCCACAGCTGCTACTACAAAATGTAACCATCTAATCTAAGAGTCACCCGGCTGCTAGAGCCAGTGATTCTCCGTTTGGCTCCAAACCTGCCGATGCCAACGGAGATGCCTGATGCTCTCAATGCTCATCCATATACAGCTGATTCATGTAGCACATCGTTCCTGTCCCAAGGGTCCTGAAACTTTGCTTGCTACTGCCATGCTCCTCCTCTTCCTCCCCATCATCACACCCAAACAGCTGGTTTGAGGCAATCCGTCCCTCCACCTTCCCAAACCCCTTCACCTCCATGCTCCAGTCCTTACCATTGCAGGAAAGGCCCTTCCCGATCGCACTCTTCACTGTTTTTTCCTCAGCTGCCACGAGATCAGTGAAATGGTAAGCAGTGGACAGAGAGTGTCCTTTCCCACTGCTGAAACCGCCTCGGCCAATCCCCCTCTTCACACCAGCTACCTCCTTCGTCAAGCCAGTGGGGCTGCTGCAGAGGCTGTGAGCGGAGGAGGAGCAGGAGGAGGAGTCCGAGGAGAGGTGGATGAGACACGCACTGCAGCTGCTGCAGCTGCTCTCACTGCGACTCAAGCTGCACCACCCGCTGCTCGCCTTTGCTCCCTCCTTCCCACCCTGCTGTGCCTCTGATTCCGCCTTCCCACCCTGCTCTGATCCGCCTTTCACACCCAACCAGGCCGCAACCTTGGCTGAGGAAGCATCAATCTTGGAAACTGAGTCAACTGAGCAGGTACGTGAGGCAACAGAGTCCTCTTGAGCAAGCAGCTCTAGGAACGAATAAGCTTTCCTCTTCGGTTCCTTCGGTTCCTCTGCCTTTTCTACTTCCTCTGCGTTCTCAGTTTCCTCTGCTTCCTCAGCCTGACTCGAAACGGCAGCAGTCACACTTGGAGCATCCACAGTCACAGCAACAGCCACAGCAGCGGTTTCTACCTCTGCATCTGTTGACGCAGCTTCTTCCAGAAGAGCGATAACAGGGAGAACGGGAACCGACAGCACCTCCACTGCTGCTTGCTCGCACGGCCTGATCCAGCTGGAGACGGCCTGCACGAGAAAAACGAGATAAGGTTAGTTGCTGCCTAAGGAGAAGAGTCATGAAATTACCAGCAAACAGATGGTGAATAACTTATGAACAAAACATTGCTGGTACAGAGGACGAGGGCTTGCGAGAGCTGCAGGGAATGGCTAGGAGGAAGTGGTTCTTACCAGGCGTGGAGCTGCGATCATGCTGCAGATGAAGCGAGTGAGGGAGTCGTTTTGCTCCCAGCAGCTCGCGAACAGCGCGTCGACGTCCATGCAGGCGTTTTCAGCACCGATGCAGGCCATGTTGTTGACGGACGAAGAGTTAGAAGGTTACGGCTAAGCTTTCGCGACGAGTTTGCAGAGTATACTGAGCACTTGAGCAGACTTCTACAGCTGGTAGCGAAGGGAGCACAAGGTAGGACGATTAACAAGTAGCTTTAGTCGAGACTGATGAACGATATAGAAACTCCGGCGACGTATTTGTAGTGTTTCTGTATGGTGGGTGCAGCAACTTCGATAGGCGTCGGGTGAGTAGCGAGTGAGAGCGAGCGAGCGGGGGAATGCGACGAGAGGGGTGGCAGAGGGAGCGAGCAAGCAGGGGAACCCGCCGAAATGTTCGCTGCTGTGGCATGGGCTTGGGAGGCGACGACGTAGGCTGGCCTTGGGGGAATCGGGGTGTCGCACGAGATTCCATTTTTCAAGCGACGATTTAGAGTGGAACACGTGTATCTAATGTGCCAGCGAGGAGCGTCGCTTGGAACCAGGTTATGCTCTAGCGTCCGCTGCAATCGGGAGCACTGAGTGCGACGCGAGAAGGCGGGAAATTACGTCAGGTTCGGAGCCGACGAGAGTTTCGGCGAGCTCTGTGTGGTCCACCGAACCTAATGTCAAGGCCTAGAGAAAACCACGGGGACATGACCAACATACCACACCACATAGAATAAGTTGCGATCGAACCTGGCCAGCAGGTTGGGCAGTGAGGTTTTGCAGAAGCCAGGGGAGCGACAAAATCGAGACTCCGTAAGCACTGCACTTTTCCCCGCTACACCCTAATGGCGAAGAACATGGAAGAGTTTTATGTGTACAGAACTTTATTTGAGTTATGCAAAGGGATATATAGAGTTTAAGCTTAAAATATTTGCATGTCTTTAACATATTAAACAGAAAACGGTACTCTTCTGCCATTGGAATAAGTGTAAGCAATATTGCATGTTTGCACAATTGCGAAAGACCAGTTGGTTGATGATACTAGGCTTCTGTTCTCAAGAGCGGGAACAGAATGGGACAAACTCAATGGCGTGTAACTTTTTCACTTTCTGAACGTCCGGACAGCCTGTCATCCGGACTTTTATAGGGTTACTGTTTTTGTGAAATGTCGCTTTCTCTATGATTCGTGGACGGACTATGACGAAAGAAGTAACCCTAAAAAAGTCCGGACGTTGAGCCGTCCGGACGGTCAGAAAGAGAAAAAGTTACAGGCCCTAAGACAGCTACCGACGCTGCTGGCCCTGGCGCTGCTGCAGCTGGCGCTGCTGTTGGCGCAGCTGTTTTTCAGCGAGGGGAGGAGGACGAAAGAAGAGATATTGATGGTAAGAGTGTGAGCAACCGCAGCAGCGGAAAACAGTGCAGTGGAGAGGTGAGGATAAGCAATGTGCAAGGGCCGGGGGAAGGTGAGGGGTGGGAAATGGTACTCCCAGGACGAGAAAAAAAAGCACCAGGAAGCAGTGCAGAGTGAAGTAGAAGTGATGTTGCTGCACGTTCATGCGCTCTGCACAATGACGATTGAGGCCGATTGAGCCAAAAGGAAAAAAGGTGAGTTTAAACGGTTAGCCTTCCCGCTGAAGAGATGGAGGAGAGGCATGTGGAAGGGTCAGGAAGAAAGGGGGAAGGATAGGGAGTTGGATGGGGGAAATGCTGGAGGAAGAAGGATGAGGTGCTATATGAGGGGTAAGGCTACTGCATTTCCTTCTTCTCATCAATTTGCGATTCTCCCTATCCCCTTTCCTTCGTTCCCTTCCGCTGTAGCCTATGGCCTTCATTCCGCCCTCCTCCGATCCACCCCAGGAGGAAACCCCGACTTTTTTATCCCCCCTCCTACCATCCCCACTTCTCCCATCCCCTCTCCCCTTTTCCCCGTATCCCCCTCGCTTACCCTGCATCTTGTTACCCGCCCATCTCCTCGTCCCCCATCCACTATCCCCCCACCTCCCATTCCCCCCATCTCTGATCCCCCGTCTCCCATTCCCCCACCTCCCATTCCCCCATCTCCAATCCGCCATCTCTAATTCCCCCATCTCCAATCCGCCATCTCTAATTCCCCCATCTCCCATCCCACCATCAATCTAACTCCTATCTCACGTTCCTCTGTCCCCCCTTGCCAATCCACCATCCCAAATCCCCATCCCCTATCCCCCACTCCCCTTCCTCCATCGCCCATCTCCCACCTCCCATCCCCCACCCCTCATCCTCATACCCCATCTCCCACCCGCTTCTCCCCACCCTGCTCTTACCATTACCCTACGGCCCACTGATTAGCTTCAAGTCCGTCCTCCCACGGATCCGCCAATTTTGTCTGCCCCTTCACCCCCACCACCCCCCCTTTCCCCCCACTCCCCGCCCAGCATCCCGCTGAGCATGCCAAGACATGAGAAGCATCGGCAGATCCCCTTCTTGCCCCCCCGGCTCACACCGCCTTACCCAACGGCCCACAGCTTATCAACGATCGCCCTATGCGGGATTCGCCCGCCACGGTCAGAGACATGGAGAAGCATGGGCAGCATCCCACCCGTTCGCCCCCCCGCTCACACTGACTGTTTTCTCGTCCCCCCTGCCGCCCCACCGCCACCCCTTCCCTTGCTCACCGTCGTTCAGTGCCTTTCTCCTCTCCTCTCTCTTAGGATCGTAAGCACCTTAGTCGGCAATAGTCTACTTGCTATCGCCTATCGTGTTCTCCACGATCTCCCGAATCCAATGATATGCGCAGCTCTGCTTGAAGTTGTCAATACACACTTCAGCAATTTTCAGAATCTGATTGGTATGATTTCCAGAATGAGTACAAGTAGTTTTATAGTCAGGCAAGACATAAAATGCGATTCGTAACTTCACTTGTTTCCCAAGTAACCGCGTGCGCTTCGTTTTACCCCGAGTCACACACGCAACCGAACCGAATTCGGTGAACACTCCTCAAGACCGAATCTGGAACCTTCTCGAACACCCCTCGAGCTCGAACCACAATCTCCCTTCGCCAACTTCAATCTCGATGCTTCTTCCACCTTCTCACACATTCCTTCTCGATTTCTCTCTCCCTTCTCACACCGTAGGCCGATTTCCACCGTTTCACC